CAGCTTGGGGAAATAGCACAGGGAGGGAAGGTTGAAGCCCCTCCCTCTCTCTGTGCCCTGGTCTTGAGCCAAATCGGGACCCTGTATATGTATGGCTGTGCTCAGATCAGGGCTTAAACCAGAAATAGCATCTAGTTTGGATCTTAACCACCAGAACAAAGCACTGAATAGCCTTTTTCCAGTGGTCATGGCAGCAATGATGGCAGCACCAGCAGGGGACCCTTCTAACACACACCCTCATCAAACAAGTAACATCTGGGTAGACTTGCAGTGGATCTCATGATCATGAGCTGTTAAAAATTAAAACCAATCCTGCCTTTTCTTTCCCCTGCATCTTCTAGGCTTTTTCCCTATTGTCCAAAATGAAGCCATTTTAAAGTCTTTAAGCCTTCTCCAGCTAAGAAGCAAATGCCTGCCTGTCTCTCCCAGAAACAATGTAGCCGCAAGCACAAGCTGCTAGAGAGCAGGGAATGCAGGCTTATCTCAGCTGAGAGTCCAGCTGTTAGATGAAAAACAAGGACCCTAAAGTCACACTCACAATAACATCGTTTCTGAAGACCTATCTTGGATGAGAGCCTATTTCTCTAAGCTTGATGGTTTGGGGAAAGAGAAGATGGGAATGCTTGCAAAATAAGATCCATACTTATCCATCCCCCCACCCCATGACAGGGTTGCACTTGTGCTACTGGCCTTTGTGAAGATATTTCATCAGGGGCTTAGAAACCCCATCTTGACGCAATATTAACTTGTGGAACTACCCTCTGCAGGCCATTGCTGTAAGGTAGGACAGAGAGCCACGTAAGAAACCCAATTTTCATATCTAACATACAAATCTCCAAAGAAAAGGCAAGCATTACTTAAATGGGAAATTTATATTCACTTTTAGTTGTTATTCTATGCGGGATATTGTTGACTTACAATTTCACTATGGCTCAAAACTAAAAATCAAAGAGACACATCCTGATAGCAGACAGACAATAAGTTTTGATACTTTTGCTCTATAAAAATTAGGAACAGACTAATACAGTGACTCTTCTGGAGCAAGTATTCTCGTAGAAAGTCTGAACAACTGAAGGAATGAGATCCTCATGAGAGGATGGAGTTGGCTATGGAAATCTAGCCATACCAGCAAGGCTGTACGTTTACTTATACCACTATGTGATGCAACTTTATCAAATAACAAAGGAAAACACTGGTGCTAGAAATATACAGAGTTATGTTAACAGTCAGGCTAGCTCGATTTGTCAGATCTCGGAAGCTAAGCAGGGTTGGCCCTGGCAAGTATCTGGATGGTGAACCTCCTAGGAATACCAGGTTGTGACACGGAATCAAGGAATGACAAACCACCTCTGAATGTCTCTTGCCTTAAAAACCCCACGGGGTCACCCTAAGTCAGCTGTGACTTGATGGCGCTTTCCACAATCATGTGCTAGCAGCTATACTCTTACCCTCTATTTGTAGAACCTCTGCCAACAGTAATGTACAACTTTGTACACAGGCCATAGAGCCATGAGTCAGGGGACATGCTCTCACCAGAATAATGACATTTCACACACTTCACTGACACAATCAAGGTTTTGCTGGGCCACAGCAGAGGGCCAGCAAAACCTCAATTTCATTTTTGAAAGGCTCTTCTCCTTACCAGCCATACCCAGTGGTTTATGACAATCAGCTGGTGATGGCATAATTTAATACCCATATTTTAACTTTACTAATTAATGCAAAACAAAACCTGTAAAAACTATGTTTCCTTACCTGAATCTCTAAAGTAATCTCAGCTATCTGTTTCTGTTGATTGTCTATGACCTG